TGGTGTCTCTTCCTCCGTTCCCGTTGCTGCCTCTTCATCGGTCCCTGCTGGCGCTAGCTCCAGCTCTGTCCCCGGTGTCAGCATGAGCTCCGCTATCCCCTCCGGCTCCTACCCCGTCGGTGGTGGATACGGTGGCAAGCCCTCCTCTGCTTCCTCTGAGGTCCCCGAGGCTGCCACCACCAGCTCCGTCGTTCCCGGCGTCAGCATGAGCTCTGCCATCCCCTCCGGCTCTTACCCAGTCGGCGGCGGCTACGGAGGTGTCCCCTCCTCGGTCGTTCCTGAGGCTGCCACCAGCACCATGTCCGGAACTGGTCTCTACCCCACTGGCGCTGGTATGGTCCCTACCGGCACTGGCATGGTTCCCAGCGGTGTCTCCTCCACCCCCATCAGCGACATGGTGACCTCCACCATCTACAGCACCCAGATCTTCACCAAGACTGCTTGCCCCCCTACCGTCACTGACTGCCCGGCCCACTCCACCGCGCTCGTCACCAGCGTTGTTGCCGTCGGCACCACCGTCTGCCCCGAGTCTGACCTCCCCAAGCCCACCGGCAGCTCGGCCATGACCAGCTCCTACCCCGTCTCTGAGGTCGTCCAGACCTACACCGAGACCCTCGTCTACACCGTCGGTGTTGGCTCGACTGCTCACCCAGTCACCACTGAGGTCACCTCCACCTCTACCTCCACCCAGTACTCCACTGTTGTCGTCACTGTCGGCAAGCCCACTCCTACTGGTGAGGTTCCCTCCGAGGCTACTGGCCCTGCTGGCGGCGAGGGCTCCTACCCCACTGGCCCCGCTGGTGAGGAGGATGCCACTTCCACCATCAAGTCTACCTCCACCTCCACCAAGTACATCACCGTCAAGCCCACTCCCACTGGTGAGGGCGATGTCCCCGCTGACTCCGAGTCCAACCCCTCCGGACCTGCTGGTGGCAACGGTGCCTACCCCACTGGCCCTGCTGGTGGTGAGGCCAAGCCCTCCACTCCTGCTGGAAGCGAGGGTGGTGAGGACTGCGCTGCTCCCGTCACTGTCACCGTAACTGCCAAGGAGACCGTCACCGTTACCAAGGGTGGTGACTACCCCGCTGCCACCCCCAACGCTCCTGAGCCAACCCCCGAGGTTCCCTCTGAGCAGACTGCCTCGTCCAGCATGCCCGCCGTCCCCACTGCCATGTACCCTGTCCCCGGTAACGGCACCAACCCCTACCCTGCCGGCCCCACTGGCTTCAAGACCTCCACCAAGCCCGCCATGCCCACTGGCACCGGTGCCGTTCCCACCTCGGTCCTCCCCAGCTTCTCTTTCGTCTCTGAGGTAGCCACCCCCACCGGCGAGACTGCTATCCCCTCCTCCAGCGTCCCCGCCTCTGCTGAGACCAGCTCTGCTGCCTACCCCGTCGGTGGCGGCTACGGCGGTGCCTCCAGCTCTGCTGCCGTCTCCACTGAGACTCCTGAGGCTTCCACCGTTGCCTCTTCCTCCGCTGCCCCCACCCCTACCCCTGACAACAGCTACGGCTCTGGCAGCGGTTACGGCTCCGGCTACGGCACCTACTAAGCGCTAAAGTGCATTTCTTGTATATGAGCTTCGCGTTTTCTTAGTGTCATTTGTTGGTAGGGTCGCTTGATCCGCATTCTCGCATGTCTTGTCTGTCTACTGTATCAAGTTCCCTCGGGCAGGGGCAAAGCGTTGGGTGGTTTCCTTTGTGATGGATTGTTCACGTAAAAGCCGGGACTAGACAGTTGATATCATGTACATTCGACAATATATTGACTGTCTTTTCCCACATCACTCTTCGGATTTCCTATGCTCGTCGGACTCTGGTATATGGGCGCAGTCAGACTGCAATGTTTGATGAACCTCGATTTGTTCCTAGACTTTTCCTTTGTTGTGGTTGTCAAATGACCTGGCGTTATCTAGCTTTCTTGAATTTACTCGTTTCTACTGAATCTTGCCTCTAATCTCAATTGTGATGTTTCTCACCTGAGTTTGAGCGCCAGCGTTTCCCTTGCCGCTCTCGTCGAACTCTGTCGCAAGTCGGGACCAGATCCCCAGTGACACAAACCTAATCTGCAGAGCTGATCACCGTACCTGCATACTGTCCCAACCCCATCCCTGTACATCATCGCGCCACCGCTTGCACGTTCTCGCATGATCGGCCACAAGTGTAACGTCTAATAAAGCAAACACAGCCACTCGCAGCTGCAGTGCCCACGTTCGCGGGTCTGGTGCAGCACGTCTCCATCTAGCCATTCGCATTCAGCTCCGCCTCTCCTTTTGAGCCGCTCCAACTTACTTACCGTGCCGCAGGGTACGTAACTGCAAAAAACACGCTTTCAGACGCCGACAGCCTTTTCGCAGTACTACATCATGCAACATCCTGTTGGTGGAAGGAACGTGCGCTGTCGTTGTTGATCACTCGTGGCTCGAGCGACTACTGGTCGATGTGGATCTATACTACATCTGATATCAATAGACCGCATCTGGGATGGTTTTCTCGCAAGATTGGTACGCGTCATTATACGCTCGTATTGGGCATCGGACGGGATGGTAGTACACGAGCTATAGATGGACGTGAATAAATTCGCCGAGGACGTCCGTTCATGCTGATCGTGTTGACGCAAGTTAGAAAAGGTTGTGGGTCTGGAAACGAGGCGAGAGCGGATGCAGGTGACATGTTCAGATCATGGTGATCGATTTCTTGATTATGCAAGATGCCCGGTGGCAGGTGGGTATGTTTGGGGGAGTTGCGCTGCGTACGTGGCGATCGTGATTTTGTTCTATTCTTGAGGGTTTAATTTCCGATGCGGCCGAGGTGAGTGGGTTTGGAGATGCGGAAAGTGCACACGCATGATGTTGAGTAAACGAAAGGAAAGCGAGGAGACAATTGAGTCAAACGAGTAATTATTTAGAGATACAACCGACAAAAGCACATTCTGCTCGGTGCCGTGCGCCTGTCGCTACTGGGTATCAATGTCCTGAACGCCAAATACACACCTCATACACACACACGCCTCGACAAACATGGGCCTAGTAGTCATCATCGTAATCGTAGCCACCCCTCCTCCGTCCACCATGGCCTAGATGTCGTCGGACCCAGTACTGATGATATGTGGAATAATCCCGCTCACCACTGAGACCGAGTTGTCCTGCAACATTGACATAGCCGTCCCCATTTCTCTCCAGGTTCTTTGTATCGACAGCGCCCAGCTTGCCCTCGAAGCCTGTGTCTGCCTCCCACTTGGCACGACAGTATGGACAAGTCGCTTTGCCCTTTGAGACCGCGATCCAATTCGCCATACAAGCCTTATGCACGTTGTTTCCACAGCTAGCTTTGCAGTATACGATGGGTTCGTTCTCGCCGAGTTCGTCGTAGCAGATGGGACATTCACCCTCGATGGGCTTGCGGTTGCCATCTTGGCCTTCTTGTTCAGTGCCGTCCTTTCCGTCTGTCTCCACGCCGGGGATGGGCGGCGCGTTCTTGATGACTTCGCGCAGCTCGGAGCGGATGAGGGCTAGTTGGTATGCGACGTCTTCCCGTGCCTTCAACACGCGCAACATGACGTATATGATGTGCTTGCATTGATTGCCCTTCTTCGCGTGTGGACAGTCACAGCTTGGAACGAGACCAACTGAGACGGTGTAGACGTTTCCTGTGGAGCCTGCGACAATGACCTTCTCCTCTGGTACATCGTCGCTTCCGCAGCGTTCGCGTGAGAGCACTGTAAGGCGCTGTGTGAACGCTCTTTCCTTGATCGCAAGGTAGCTTTGTGGTGCCTGCTTGCGGAACACTCTCGCACGCTTCTCTTCGGCAGGCGCATCGGCGTCGCGCTTGCCTCTCTTCTTAGCAGGAGTCTTCTGAGTCTTCTTGGGAGAATCTGCCGTCAGGTCGATTACTTCGGGTGCGCTCTTCGTCTTTTTGGCTTTCCGTGGTGTGGACTGGTATTTGAAGGCTGCATCGTCATCGTTATCATCGTCGGCGGCGTACGTGGTAGTCTTTCGCTTGCGGGTTGCTCGCGTCGGCGGAAGGCCCAGGTCGGAGTTCATGGCGTGTGTGTGATGTAATTGGCGTCGCAAGGCGGATGAGGGGGTATCGGTTTGGCAGTTTGGTACGATTGGCTTGCGCGCGGGGGAAGATGAGGGAGTGTGGAGTGGCGGCAGCCCGGATCGCGCTTGCCTCACGCGTCCACGTGATGACGTAGCTAACATCTATTTCATCCATTGGAGACTATTCTTCCCCACTCCAACTACTGCCATTAGGCCAATATTTCTTGCGGTGTTCTTATCGCATGAGTAACGACCCAGATCCTTACCTATACAATACACGACACGCAGCACTTCTGACACCCAGTCTCGAACCAGAAACCGCACAGTTGCTGTCGTTGCTCTTTCATCCCAGTCTTCTCTTTTCATGTCGTATGTTTTGAGACTGTCTATATCCGCATACAGTATACAGATCGATAGCGACGCGTGCCCGAAACTTGGGTATCAAGGGCTCGCTACCACAGCTCAAGCCTGCAATCAGTGCCTCTGCACTCCGCTGCAATACTAGTGTAATCATTACATTAGGATATGGCACTGACCTGGAACCATGTCTTATCTCGAGATAAGCGTTCATATCCGTTCATTTGATATGTTCCGCTATCTGTTACTCTCCCTGCATGTCCCTATCCTACAAGCTTTCGTGGTACACCCAAACATCTCACCCACAATTTCGACCATGCTTTGCATGGCAAGTGCTCGTTTGGCCCACATCGTTTTACGGTCTTCAAATTGAGCGAACTGCGCCCGGCATTGCATAGCTATTAACGAGCTCATAACTGCGCTCACGCTTGCAGCATTCCAGACTGGTACCGTGTCGTGACAACTCGAGCTACTACGATTGACCGACTCCTGTCATCCTTTGGTTTCTCGTCCTAATCTTATTCTCCGTTCTTCACATTCCACCGGCCCTCTTCACGACAATATCCGCGCGACTGCAGAGAAGGCTCAGTGACACAAAGCCATGGCTAGGCACGCAGCAGAGAAGACGACACCGGAAGAGCTTTTGGACGAGCAATTGATTCAGCCTCAATTGACTCCGTCGGCAGACCTCGAAGGACAGGCTGCGCCAGCTGAAGAACAGGATGTCTTTGGTAACGAGGAAGGCGCTGAGATACAGTACAAGACGTGCAAGTGGTGGTATGTACACAACCCACCTGATGCTGTGTGAAGTGTGAAGTACCACTGAACGAGATTTAACGGTACTTTGGTGCTCCTCGGCGTACGGCATGCATCGTTCGCTGGGCGTGAGATCCTTCTTTGAACTATCGCTGACTTTCAACTGCCAGGAATGTCGGCACTCGTAAGCCCCCCGTACCTTCACACTATCATCTCAATAACATAGTCAAGTTATGCTGGCGGAAAATGTCTCATTAGGCGTCCTCGCCCTTCCTCAAGCGCTTGCGATCCTCGGTCTCGTCCCCGGTCTCCTCTGCATATGCTTCCTAGGCATCATCGCTACATACACTGGCTACTTGATCGGCGAGTTCAAGCTGGCTCATCCGTCTGTAGCGAACTACGCGGATTGCGGCATGCTTATGAGCGGGCCAGTGCTTCGCGAGGTGCTTGCTGTCGGACAACTACTAGTCTTGATATTCATCATGGGGGCGCACATCTTGACCTTTGCGGTCGCGATGAATGCGATGACTGACCATGGCACTTGCACTATCGTCTTCACTGTCGTCGGACTAATCGTCTCCTTCCTGCTGGGGTTGCCCAGAACGTTCAAGAACATCAGCTACTTTAGCTACTTTTGTAGGCCAAAGGATTCGATCGCTTCATGTGAACTCGCGACTGACACATTTCAGCTTGCGGTTCCATCATTGTGGCAGTTACGGTAACCATGATCGCGATTAGTATCCAGAAGCCAGACATGGGCAACATCGTTGCTGTGCGACCCGATGTACCACTCGTCAAGGGACTCGCACCCGTGATGAACATCGTCCTAGCTTACAGTACGTCGTTTCCTGTTCTCTGGTCACAAAGACTTCTGCTGATGTCATACAGCTGGACACGTCGCCTTCTTCTCGTTCCAATCCGAACTCGAAGACCCTCGCGACTTCCGCAAAGCCCTCATCTTCGAGCAGGGTATCGCAGTCACGTTTTATATGCTCATATCCGTCATAATATACTACTACGCCGGGCCGCTTGTAGCTTCGCCCGCTCTTGGTTCCGCGTCCCCACTCGTCAGCAAGATCTGTTTTGGCATCGCACTACCCACAATCATCGTCGCAGGCGTAGTCAATGGCTCTGTAGCGACCAAATACATATACTTTCGCGTATGGAAGGGCACCAATGTAGCATCTACTAACAGCTGGAAGAGTTTGGGAAGTTGGGGCGCTATATGTACAGGCGCATGGCTGGTGAGCTGGATCTTGGCTGAAGCAGTGCCGAACTTTAATTTGCTGTTGGGATTGATCGGAGCTCTCTTTGGAAGCTGGTTTAGTTGTAAGTTACTGCCAACACGACTTACTGTGAATAATCGTAGGTGCATTGTCTGACGCGCGTAGATGCGCTTCCTCCACTGATGTGGCTATGGCACAATAAGAAGAATGGTAGGCTGTTCTCGTCGACTTCGCAAACGGCTTTTACCATCTTGAATATCTCGATTGTCATTCTAGGAATGCTCATTGTGAGTCCACTCCCCAAGACACTACAAGACGAGTACTGACTCCGTGCTACAGTTTGGGCTTGGGATGTGGTCGTCTGGATGGGCGCTGAACCGCGGGTCTGGCGGCAAGGTATTCTCTTGCGATAATAACTGGCATCCTGTGAGCTGGGTTTCAGGAGGTACCAAAGATGCATAGATGTAGCGCATGAGTTGGAAGGGTATTCTCGTGCCTGTTTAGGCTCGCTGGTGAGCTTTATGGAGTGCAAGATCAAGACGTTGGTTAGTTAGAAGCGCACTCCTGTTATAAAGATAAGAAAAATAAATGCACTCGATATCAATTGTGGGCTTTGCGGGAGACAGTGTTGCTGCAGAACAGTAGCATCGCGCAAGGGAAGCTATGACGCGCCGGGACCTGCACGACCGAGCGCTGCGCATCTCACGACTCCTCACTTCACGAGCCAATGACAAGCCTCCCCTACCCCAGTGCGCGTCCGAAATAAGCTGTTCCCGAAGAAAAGACGCAGGCTCAGGTAATCTGGCTAATATCGATGTGGACGGGAGTGCCAAGTGAGGAGGCTGGACGACCTGGCCTCGCTCGGGCTCACCACGATGCTTACGCTGCGACCGTTGACTAGACGACGCACATATTATAGTTCTTACTGAATCAGGCCGAGGATATCTTCCCGCGAACTGGTACGATTGTTCATATTGCGAAGGTTGTACCACTGTTCCGCTGGTTTTCGTACTCCTGCCCTTAGCCAACCGTCCCACCTCGATTTCCACGAGCGCTCAAGCGTCCGACCCCGACCTCTTCGCTGCCCAATTTCCCCCTGATTGAAGTTTATACGTCCCCGCGACACTAACGCGACTGCGATATCATCTCGCGACTCCATTCTCATCATGCCCGTCGAGCTCCGTAAGCGCAAGGAAGCGCCCCCAGCGCCTGTGCGCCCGACGAAGAAGAAGGCGCCCGCCAAGGAGAAGAAGCCTGAGAGCGAGAAGACTGTCGTCGAGAAAGTCCAGGAAACTGTCACTGAGCAGGTCGAGGCTGTCAAGGAAGCTGTTGTCGGTAAGAGCAACGGCGAGTCCGCTGCCGCTGCGACTGGCCCACCCAAGGTCGGCGACACAATTGACCTCGCATCCTTTGGCGGAGAATTTGAGACGAATGACGGAGACAAGACCACACTTGCAAAGCTCGTAGAGGAGAGCAAGGGCGGCGTTGTACTGTTCACCTACCCCAAGGCTTCAACGCCAGGATGTAAGCCTCCAACCCCTGACATCTCTCCCGTGTTCGCAGCAGTACTAACGCGTACAACCACAGGCACAAAACAAGCCTGCCTCTTCCGCGACTCGTACGAACCCCTCACCGCAACCGGCTACTCCATCTACGGTCTCTCAGCCGACAGCCCCAAAGCCAACACAACCTTCAAGACCAAGCAGAAGCTTCCCTACACCCTGCTATGCGACCCTTCACAGAGCCTCATCTCTGCCATCGGCTTCAAGAAGCCACCGAAGAGCACCACGCGCGGTGTCTTTGTTGTTGATAAGGAGGGCAAGGTGCTTGCGGTGCAGCCTGGTGGTCCGGCGGCTACGGTCGATGTCGTGAAGGAGCTTGTGGATAACAAGGATGGCGTGCCGAGTAAGGGAGATGCGGAGAAGGCTGAGAAGAAGGAGGATAAGGAGATGGCTGAGACGGCTGGGGAGGTCGCTGATACTGCAGCGAAGGTGGATGGTTAGGGGGCTTGATGGCGTGTCTGCATACTCGTGTCTTGCGTGCAGGGCTGTTCCATATCACTGTCGCGGAGTTCAGGTCTTTGACAGCTTGGGAAAAGTGTGTGATATACTTCATCGAATACGATTCCAGGTTTTGGCATATGTTGGCTACTCTGCATACCTCACAGCTTTGCTAATGCGAAATGGCTAGGTCACACATACTAAGAGGAGCATGGCCTGGAATCGGATCCCTTGTAGGGCCCTACGTAGGAAAGCGCATCGAAGCCATCGCAGTCACAACGTATACCAAAGTACAATTCCTACCACTAGCCCGAACCAATTCCAGGACCTAGTCAGACTCAACGGCGCACTCCATTCGTCGTTGGCATGCAGGAAAGCGGCCGGGTTTCGGGCTCGCTCTGATCGAATATGCGAACTAAAGCACTCCGAGGCGACTAAGGCAACACAATCGAAATCTACACCATAGCGGACCAAACGGACGCTTTGACAAGTTCATGCGTGGGACACTGCCTGCTAATCTTGACTGCCTATCGTTGCTGGTGACCGGTGGACGACTCGCTCGGAGAGTAGCACAGCCCGGATGTTCGCCAGGAAGTTGATCGATACGTCAAGAGACGATACATGCCAATCCAATACTGTGCTCGGGGTCTAACACAGGCTGATCAGCTTATGCAGCACCGCGCAAACGCGTAAAGAGCAACACCAAGAACGCTCTATCATCATGGCTCATAACGTTTAATGACGTCACTTATATCAGGCGCCCGACGAGGCAGTTTCCTAGTATATCACGCACAACGATGTCTGGACCTAAACGACAGCAGCTTCACTGACCAGTGTTGAGGTGGTTTCGGAACCACCGGACGTGCAATCCAGTACCATGCTGCGCCACAGCCTTCCACGAATCTGACCGTGTGTAGCGGCTGACTGGTGCAGCAATCAGGCTGCTTTTTTGCGAACCATAGGCTGAGCTTCTGTGGTTTGAAGAAATACGCAAAGTATCTGTAATACGCATCTACTGTTTCCGGTGAGTTCGTCTTGCCCCATGTGCGTCGAGTATTGGATCACCGTGCAGCCGGACGGTGGATTGAGCGTCTGACCGCTTGCACAGAACGCAGGTTCTTCAAGGCAAACACTTTTGTTTCAGACCAGGCGTTATGTGTCGCTTGAGCCGAGTCTCTAAACGTCACATTTCGAGTGGCTCAGTCGTTGTTCGTTGCATGAACAATGCTGGCACGTCATAAATCTTGCATTCGGTATGAATGTTAAACCGACCGCGATTTACAGTAACTAATGGATATCCAGATGATATGAACGCTTTACTCGTGGAAGACATCTTCGTGATCCCTGGGCTTTCAGAAGCTGTTTTTCACATCAGAGCAACGATATATGCACATATGATAACCCTTGCACAGTGGCTGCGCCACCCTCCAAGGTCTAGGTCTGGTATCGAGTCGAGCCCCCAAGTGTGCGCTGTGAGCGCTGTCCGGTCGCTCAGCCGTCGCCACCGTGGCACAGCAAGCAGGCAGCCTGATGAGGCTCTGAAGTCTAAGTCCATTTAGCACAGCCTTCTAACTCCAAACTGCTATACTAGCCCTTAACCTCTGCAGCATTGCGTAATGTTCGAGGTCGCCTTCCGCTTCCTTCTTCTTGAATTGTGATCACTACCGACCATCAAACCTCCACTACCAAAATGATCCAACTCAGTAAAGCCAAGAGACTGTTCTCTTCTCGTGGTGAGCCATATAGTCTCGCAATGTGGATCGTTCGCTCAGAGCTAACATACTATTGAAGGTGACCGTAACAAACCAACCAACCCGGCGCGTCCTACCCGGATCTTCAGTGAAGTGGACGAAGATTGCGAGTCACTCAAGAGCAAGAACAAATGGTACAGGCGTGCGTTCTCCGCAGCGTGTCCAAGGTTCAAGCAACTCCTTCCGTCTCAACAACGGTCCAGCACATCGACAAGCGATGCTCCTACCCTATCACGCAAGCTCCGCCGAAGATTCACACCCGCAAGGCAGAACGAGAACTTCAAAAGGATGGTCGCTGTCTCCTTATGGGACGAAGATCGCCGTCAATGGTCAAAACCCAATCCTGGTATCGTTCTAGTGGACACGCAGAGCAAGTACAACTTGATCACTCTCCAATTTCTCGCGGAATTTGGGTTGGCACCAAGCCCCAGCTCCGAACCAATCAGCATAACCCTCAGCAACAATACCGAGGTGCCATGTCTCGGTCAGGTTGAGGCAAGATGGTACTGCAGCGATCCTCGAAAGGTTCCCAGCTTCCGACCCCGATTCGAAAAGTCGATCTTCCAGGTGGTAGACCTCGACACGTTCGAACTCGTTATCGGGAGTGATACAATCGTAGAGCTGGGGCTCTTGCAAGGAAACCGCGATTTCTTCGGTGCTTATCGGACTTTACAGCCTCGAGTCGATTGTACGTTCGTGATCGCAAACTGTGAATCGTTACTGACTCGAGACAGCTGCCACACTCGCTCAAAAACAAAGAGAGGCTGAAGAGAGACGCAAGAAAGAGAAAGAGAAGATGAGGCAATATGAACAGCAGCAGGTGAGCCGTCAAAGCTCTCGTTCATGGTTGCAATGCTGATTTGGACAGGCACAAGCAGCTGCGGCTCAGAGACGCTGAACACCCACCCTAGACATACTACACACACACGTATACATCCCGAACTGGATTCTCCCGAACGCTCAAAGATTGTTTCGGTCGCCGATCCCAGTTGACGTAGGGATGACACGCCAACGATGGACGGGGGCCGGACTGCGACGAGATAAAGGCGACGGCTTCTTATGTTGAATCTTGTTCGGATTTCAAGTTGGGCTGAGCTGACGCGGAGCGGAGTGAGCTTTAACTGAATTGCTCCAATGGCTGAGTGGCCGGATGAGTACTGTACCGAAGTTGGTGGCGCACGCATGCAGGTGATTACAACGCATGCCACCTGGCAACAGTTTTCCTGCAGCGTATACGACCGACACGGATTCTGCCGAGGCTAAGCGAAAGAGTTACGGGGTAATCGGTCACCAATACTGCTTTCTTCGATTATGTTAATGTCTCCATTTAGAAAGGGTAGTTTCTTTTGCGATTGAATTCAGATTAAACCTCCTCCTGCAGTGCTCCTATCAGACCCAACAAAGACGACCTGTACAGCAGCAAACCTTGGGTTTCGTTAGTAGGTGAGCAATCAGGAAGATATGGACATACTCACGCAGCTGTGATAGCAAAAACTTCGGCGCGTTTCGCATTGGCCAAACCCATCAAGCAAATAGAAACCAGAACATTGAACCCAGCAATGATTCCAAGTCGAG